ATAAACACGATGTTAGAAAACAGCTTACTTATTTACTCCACCACGAGTTCATACTAAGTTTTTTTCTGTCATCGTGATGTTTATAACAATACCTTTTCCAAAGTACCAGATTTCTCTAAATGTGATAGTTGATCACTCGGACTGACAAAGATCAATATGTCGGGTGTCGTCGAAGAAACAGAAGACGCTTACTCTTTCGCATCACGTGGTCTCATTTCCCTTCTACTTTTTCTGAGGTTTTCATATAATTTTTGCTCATGGTTATCCCTGGGTACACAACAATCGAGATTGAATTAAAATGATGTTGGCATGCTCGTATTTTATATGCTGTTTCAGTTCCAATTTCTTCGATTTTGAATCTGAGTTCATTTCCATTCTGATTAAAATACCGCTTCTAATATTAGCACTAAACTCTCTAAACTCCGCACGGAGCGAAATTTATCATTTGTATTTGAATTCAATTGAGGCGAGATTCTGTCAACACACCGGTATATATCTGTGTACAGTAAGATTCTGTAGACAAACCGGTATATATCTGTGTACGGTAAGATTATGTAGACAAGCCGGTATATATCTGTGTACGGTAAGATTATGTAGACAAGCCGGTATATATCTGTGTACGGTAAGATTCTGTAGACAAGCCGGTATATATCTGTGTACGGTAAGATTCTGTAGACATGCCGGTATATATCTGTGTACTGTAAGATTCTGTAGACAAGCTGGTATATATCTGTGTACGGTACGATTCTGTAGACATGCCGGTATATATCTGTGTATGGTAAAATTCTGTAGACATGCCGGTATATATCTGTGTTCGGTAAGATTCTGTAGACATGCCGGTATATATCTGTGTATGGTAAAATTTTGTAGACATGCCGGTATATATCTGTGTTCGGTAAGATTCTGTAGACATGCCGGTATATATCTGTGTACGGTAAGATTCTGTAGACATGCCGGTATATATCTGTGTACGGTAAGATTCTGTAGACATGCCGGTATATATCTGTGTTCGGTAAGATTATGTAGACATATCTGGTATATGTCTGTGTACGGTAAGATTCTGTAGACATGCCGGTATATATCTGTGTACGGTAAGATTCTGTAGACAAGCTGGTATATATCTGTGTACGGTAAGATTATGCTGGTATATATCTGTGTACGGTAAGATTCTGTTGACAAGCTGGTATATATCTGTGTACGGTAAGATTCTGCTGGTATATATCTGTGTACGGTAAGATTCTGTAGACATGCCGGTATATATCTGTGTATGGTAAAATTTTGTAGACATGCCGGTATATATCTGTGTTCGGTAAGATTCTGTAGACATGCCGGTATATATCTGTGTATGGTAAAATTCTGTAGACATGCCGGTATATATCTGTGTACGGTAAGATTCTGTAGAAATGCCGGTATATATCTGTGTTCGGTAAGATTATGTAGACATATCTGGTATATGTCTGTGTACGGTAAGATTCTGTAGACATGCCGGTATATATCTGTGTACGGTAAGATTCTGTAGACAAGCTGGTATATATCTGTATACGGTAAGATTCTGCTGGTATATATCTGTGTACGGTAAGATTCTGCTGGTATATATCTGTGTACGGTAAGATTCTGCTGGTATATATCTGTGTACGGTAAGATTCTGTAGACATGCCGGTATCTATCTGTGTGCGGTAGGATTCTGTAGACAAGCCGGTATATATCTGTGTACGGTAAGATTCTGTAGACAAGTCGGTATAGATCTGTGTACGGTAAGATTCTGTAGACAAGCCGGTATATATCTGAGTGCGGTAGGATTCTGTAGACAAGCCGGTATTTATCTGTGTACGGGAAGATTCTGTAGACAAGTCGGTATAAATCTGTGTACGGTAAGATTCTGTAGACATGCCGGTATATATCTGTGTACGGTAAGATTCTGTAGACAAGGCGGTATATATCTGTGTACGGTAAGATTATGTAGACAAGCCGTATATGTCTGTGTACGGTAAGATTCTGTAGACATGCCGGTACATATCTGTGTACGGTAAGATGCTGTAGACAAGCCGGTATATATCTGTGTACGGTAAGATTCTGTAGACATGCCGGTATATGTATGTGTACGGTAAGATTCTGTAGACAAGCCGGTATATATCTGTGTACGGTAAGATTCTGTAGACAAGCTGGTATATATCTGTGTACGGTAAGATTCTGTAGACATGCCGGTATATATCTGTGTACTGTAAGATTCGTAGACAGGCCGGTATATATTTGTGTACGGTGAGATTCTGGTGTCGTTCGTTGTGATTACCGACATCACTGCAGAGAATATCAACTTAGTTATGTGTTTCTGTTGCAGGTATGCTATACACAAAAACAGCTGAACGTGAACGGGGAGATCAGATACAACCTTGGCTGTCGACATCAGACTGTAGGTATCAGTCACAGAAATCATTAAAATACCTTTGTTTTTAACCCTGGTTGGTCTAAAGAACTTAGCATTTCTTACTTCAGGGACGTATTGTTTAGAGGGAAAGTGCCGATATTTTACAACGTTATAACAAAGAACTTCGAGTTAACTAACCTGTTTATACTAAAAAGTGTATCGCTAATCTTTTCAAAGTAAAAAGTATGAGAAAACTTTTGATATGTAAAACACAAAATGCAAACTTAGCTATTTATAACTGAAATACCACCCTATTTGTATGTCATTCATAGTCAAAACCATTAAGAATGCCGTCTTATAGCGTGTAAAGACTAAGTAATGTTCAAATTGCCTTCATTAGTGTTACATGATTTTTTCTTAGTGATATAATCTGCTTACAAGGGGAAAATGGCTGTGGTCAGACTGGTCACTATAAAAGTGAATGGGGACTAGGTAGATAAGGTTAGATACAGAGAAGTATGTCACGGCTCGGTGCACAAACACGAAAGCTAACACCAGAGACGTTATCACGAGGTATAGTTTCACGTCACTCTATATTATACAATTTGCATCGGAAGTTAACTTAGTAAAACTACCCGTCCACCTGGTCATCTTCCCATTGGACTTCAGGATTCTCCGTGTAAAACTTTCGTTTGTTCCTATAATGTTTAATGTGGCCATCTTCCCATAGAACTTTTCAGGATTCTCCGTGTAAAACTTTCATTTGTTCCTATAATGTTTAATGTGGCCATCTTCCCATAGAACTTTTCAGGATTCTCCGTGTAAAACTTTCATTTGTTCTTATAATGTTTATTGTGGCCATCTTCCCATAGAACTTTTCAGGATTCTCAGTGTAAAACTTTCGTTTGTTCCTATAATGTTTAATGTGGCCATCTTCCCATAGAACCTTTCAGGATTCTCCGTGTAAAACTTTCGTTTGTTCCTGTAATGTTTAATGTGGCCATCTTCCCATAGAACCTTTCAGGATTCTCCGTGTAAAGCTTTCGTTTGTTCCTGTAATGTTTAATGTGGCCATCTTCCCATAGAACCTTTCAGGATTCTCCGTGAAAAACTTTCGTTTGTTCCTATAATGTTTATTGTGGTCATCTTCCCATAGAACTTTTCAGGATTCTCCGTGAAAAACTTTCGTTTGTTCCTATAATGTTTATTGTGGTCATCTTCCCATTGAACTAGGTTTTTCAGATCATGAAATCAACTGAATCATCATGTTTCATCCTCACTCTTTGATAAGTCGGAGACTTTCCGTACGGTCGTTTTGTCAGAATTTTCATAATATAACATGACTGTGTAAAGACTGAACTTGTCACTAATCAGTCGTTTTGGTTAATATATTTAGTAAAACTGTATAGGGATTTGGAAGGCAATGGTCACAGACTTATACAGATCAATATACGAGATATAACTGGTTCACAAAAATAACTCCATGCAAACTATTGAGTACCTGACAGAAATTTAGCCTTTGTCCAATGTTAACGATGGGATTACGGTTTCAGGTTTGTGCTACAGCTTCCAGTTCCAGTATGTTGGTGGGGAGGAATGTTGGAAGAAGTAATTTCTGTATACAATGTTGTAACACCACTAACTGTAACGGCGAACTATGTCATGCGGGTAAGGCTACCTCCAACTCTGTGTCTCGTGGGTAATTCTACCACCAACTGCAAGTCTATGTCTCGTGGGTAATTCTACCACCAACTGTAAGTCTATGTCTCGTGTGAAATTCTACCACAAACTATAAGTCTATGTCTCGTGGGTAATTCTACCACCAACTGTAAGTCTATGTCTCGTGTGTAATTCTACCACAAACTATAAGTCTATGTCTCGTGGGTAATTCTACTACCAACTGTAAGACTGTGTCGTGGGTAATTCTACCACAAACTGTAAGACTGTGTCTCGTGGGTAATTCTACCACCAACTGTAAGTCTATGTCTCGTGGGTAATTCTACCACAAACTATAAGTCTATGTCTCGTGGGTAATTCTACCACCAACTGTAAGACTGTGTCTCGTGGGTAATTCTACCACAAACTGTAAGACTGTGTCTCGTGGGTAATTCTACCACCAACTGTAAGTCTATGTCTCGTGTGTAATTCTACCACAAACTATAAGTCTACTGTGTCTCGTGGGTAATTCTACCACAAACTATAAGTCTATGTCTCGTGGGTAATTCTACCACCAACTGTAAGACTGTGTCTCGTGGGTAATTCTACCACCAACTGTAAGTCTATGTCTCGTGGGTAATTCTACCACAAACTCTATGTCTATGCCTTTGACGGTAAAATGGCTCGTGGGTAAAGCTGTTAGGAAATGTATTGCTGAAATATGGCAAAATAAGAATAAAAAAGATTAACAAGGAGACTTTTGAAAAAGTATCAGGAGAATAAACCAGGTGTTCCAGAAGAGTAAGCTTCTGTTACATCTACATCCGCCGCATGTAAACATTGGTTCTCTAAAGTAAGGTTACGTTTCTAAAGCAGAACAATATATACAACAACGGAAACAACAGACAAACTGACAAGCATCAAATATGTCCAGCTTCATACCGCATAGAGAAACAGAATATTTCTCAATAAGATCACCATGGCGACCATCAAACTTCCCTGTAATATTCATCAACCTGCATCTGTTGAAACCCTGTTATACGAGTTTGTCGGTCGGATGTTCATGCACGAAAATTGTGATAATGGGAACAGACCCTTGAATATCGAATCAGCTGTGACATGTAAATACCATAGCTTATGGATGCAATCGGGAAATTGAAATCATCCTGCTAATCATACAGCTTGGTTGAACGCTATCCGTGTTCGTGCCGTTGTAGGAAAGTAAATCTGGCGTAAATATGTCAACAACTATCAAATGTAACGACAAACTACACAGTGTATATCATAAAGGTCAGGAAACATCCCACTGTAACGGGGAATTACGTCACGTGTCTAGGTTGCCTTTCTCGGAAAAATATAAATATTTAGGAAATCGTATCGATTCACCGACGTCACGTGATTTGTTGATCTTGGTCCATCAAAGTAAATAATGTCAAGTTCTCAAACTATTTTTGTCGCAATTCAAATTTTATTTTATGTTTAAACAGACCCATCACTGACGACAACTACCGCTGTCCCTGGCACGTGCACAGAAAGTCCCCAATGTCCTTACCTCACCGGCACATTTAATCTGTGTGAAGATCCAAAATCTGCCCGAGACATCTGTCCCATATCTTGTGACGCCTGCACACAGATGATTCAGTCTCCTACGCCAACATGCGAGGATAGCCCTGAATGTGGTATGTTGTCACTACACTTCGCCAGTACCATGTGTGATGAGGAACACACACGGACTGTTTTGTGTCCCCAGACATGTAAATCTTGTGAACAATTATCACTGACCCCTTCCACCAAAGTTACCACGCCGACAACCACCCTGACAACCACGCCCACAACCACCCTGACAACCACGCCCACAACCACCCTGACAACCACTCCGACGACTGCCACTGAAATCCCGACCTCCGCACTGAGTTGTGAAGATAGTTCTGCGTGCGCACACTTAATGACTTTTCTCGACATCTGCAGCGACCCACAATCAGCCATGAGTATATGTCCATCCTCCTGTAACAAATGTCACCCTGATATTTTATCCTCTGTCACACCAACATCTTTAAAATCAACAAAGCCCAGTCACGTTACCATGTCACCAATAACTTGCAAAGATTATCCAATTTGTAAGGCTTTGCAGGAAAATTCTAATATCTGTGCGTCGGACATTTCCGCCAGCCATCCAATTTGTCCTGTCATGTGCGGCCTTTGTGAGGTAGGTGGCACAAGTCACTGGTTGCTGTTTCCACAAACGAATGACAGATCAACAAGCACTAACACGCATGCGTGTGTTGATGAAGATGACACGTGCCCAAAACTTAAAGAGACATTCAACCTGTGTGTGGATGAACAATTGATAGAACAGTTCGGCTGTTACAAAACCTGTAACAAGTGTGGTGAGTATATTTGAGAATCCCTTCATTGCGTTCCATTTATATAATAGAGGACATGTTTGAGTCCCTGGCTTATCTTCTAGTCTTGGGTTTACGCTTTGGTTTATGTTTTTCTATCCTGCATTAAGCGGGAATCTCTGACAGTCAGTTCACTGGTGTAAATCGCTTAGCTACTGTGAGTTGGTTTTTTTCGATGTTTGACGTTATTTTCTTTTGTTTGTGATTTTCGGTGGGTGGGTAGGGAGGGAGGTTATCGACAGACTGAAGCAATACAGATGTTTTATAAAACTTCATGACACAGGCTATCGTTCCTCTACTATGTTAGTTTTTCGTGATTCTTATTTTTCCCCATTTCAATTCATCTGTGAAAATCGAGATAATTATTTGTCTGTTTTTAATTGTTAAGATGGTAGTGAAAGCCTACAGTATAGACAGCAGAGCATCAAACATCAAGCGCAGATCCGAGGTGTTTAACGTGGTTAGGGTTTTCACGAAACTCTCAAAAATCACGGATCGTGTCTTGTTGTGGTCATTTTATCCTTAGACAAATAAATGATGTTGTTTTAAAATGTTTTACATTCAATGTGTGTTATAGTGACCCTTGTGTCATGTTGTTACAGATCTAGCACAAATGTTTACGACTATTAATCCCAAACAAATGATCGACATCGTAAACAAGCAAGAAACGTCACCTGGTAAATACACCAGCGAGGCATCAGAAACGACAACACCGTCCACGACGATAGAACAGATCCATCATCATAACACAAACGCGCCCAAGACGACGACACGGCTCATAACCCACAGTCACCAGATGACGACTCGGCCCACAACCCACAATCACAAGACGACAACTCGCCCCGCAACCCACCAGTATCAACACACGCATGCGCCAAAGACGACGATTCGGCCCATAATCCACCATGACAAGACGACGACTCGCCCCGAAACCCACCACCACCACCACCACAGTGACCACAACTCCCACCATGGCCTTTGTTTTGACATAGATCCAAGATGTCAAACCCATGACACTTACGCAAGATTGGTTATTTGTTCACGTTATTCAATATGGTGTAGGAAGACGTGCCAGTTGTGCTGAACCATATCCAGGGTAATAGTCAAACATCTTTTAGACACCACATTCTTCTGAGGTCAAAATACGGAACATGAATAATCCAAACCGTCGATGTAAACATTCCATCGGTCATTTTTTCTCGATTTTCGCGATTACAAATTCTTCACGCAGCCATGAAGCGACCTGTGGTTTGCTCTATCTGAGTTTATGATCGTGTTGACTGGTGGTATTCCATTTTGTTATTTGATTCTCAATAATTCCTTTTTCTCATTTTGTTCCTTTCTCGAAAACACTGTCTCCCGATAGTTGACTATATTGTACGTACAATTAACCTACAGGTGACTATACATATATTTTAAAATCTCTCACTTAAATTGGTATGCTAATAAACACGTCTAAAAATACAATCTTGATTTATAAAAGACACACAAATAAATGGTACCATTTGATACGAATTTAGATACAAACAGTGAATTAAACTATCATACAGCTGTTTCGTCTCTCTAGAACTCGTCAGTGATGTTACATGATACAGTTGCTTCGTCCTTCTAGGACTCGTCAGTGATGTTACATCATACAGCTGTTTCGTCCTTCTAGGCCTCGTCAGCGATGTTACATCATACAGCTGTTTCGTCTCTCTAGAACTCGTCAGTGATGCTACATGATACAGTTGCTTCGTCCTTCTAGGACTCGTCAGTGATGTTACATCATACAGCTGTTTCGTCCTTCTAGGCCTCGTCAGCGATGTTACATCATACAGCTGTTTCGTCCTTCTAGAACTTGTCAATGATGCTACATCATACAGCTGGTTCGTCCTTCTATGATTCGTTATTAATGCTACGTCATAGATCTATTAAGTCCTTCTAGGAATCGTCAGTGAGGCTAAAAGGCTAAAATGTCAAACATAGAAAGCAACTGAAGAAAATTTCAATGTAATCGAAAGAAATGTCAAAACTTAAATGGGGAGGTGTAATATATTCTGAACCGTGCCACTGTTCAAAACGTGGCAGTATGCAGGTTACGGCAAACCTCGGGGGCTAACAATGACGTCATTGTTATCAAAGAACACGGTTTTAGAATTAACATAAATTTTCTCACAACGATTTATACAACTGCCAGTTAGGTGAGTTGTGAGATGAACTCGTCAACTGACTAGCTATATTGGTGCGCTATTTCAGTATACAAAATATTAATAGTTTTTGTAAAGACGTAAACCCAACAACAGATATCAATTGTACTATCCCCAAGACTGAAATAGTCGTCTCACCTGGGACGGATAGGTCGTGGAATCGATATCTTTGCATTTCAGACAGTCACGGTTTCGTCATCGACGTCAATATATTTCACTTTTAATGTTTCGCGTTGAGATCTGTTGATGTAACACTTAAACCGAAATTAGTATATAGCTGAATCATATTGTGGTCACATCAACACAAAACAAGATTGTTCGATCGAACAACTCTGAGACGCTGAGAAGCTGGACAGTTTAGCATTTATCTTACTTCCTCATTAGGTACATGTAATACTCGAAAATTGGTGTGTTTTTTAGTGTCAATGTTGAAACCTAGGAGGCGACATGTACAAATAGTTTTAAACGTGACAGATAGAGCGTTAAATTTGTCGGCAGAGTCGAATAGACATGATCTGGTATTATATATACGTCAAACTTAATTTTCTATACGTTTCAGAAACTGTCTCGGGGCTCATTTCTGAATTATATATGAAACATTTAAATGCGATGGTATCTAATTTGAAAGGTTCCCAAAGTTCCTATGAACACTTAGAAGTTGTTATTTGTATTGGAAGGTGTTAATCTCTTGTGTGTATTTTGTACAATCTGCGATTTTGCTGGTGATGAACACTGCAGGATGTGGCTTAATTCATAATCTCGACTCTACTGTACCTACTTAGGAGTGTGATATTGAAAGGTGTCATTCACTAATGCTTTTGTACAATGCTCGAGGTAGAAGGTGGTAGTCACTTCTGTAGGAGGTTTAATCACTGGAGTGACCGGTAGGCCACATCTAATTCATTTGGAATATAGCAAGTTTCACAATATACACAAGTACCTGACGTTCGTTTGTAAATTTCAGATATATGAAAACAAAATATACTAAATCATTGGCTAGTTCATACCCCCATGTAAATGTTGATATATCTTTTGATCCATTTTGATTTTCTCTTGTCTCCTTGGTTTAAAATATTTTGGCTTTTAACATCGCTGAGAAGTCCGAGAAGGATGACTACTGTATGTAAAGGATTTATTGAAGTGTAATTCATCCATACATCGCATTTCAAAAAATAATCATACAGCTGTTTAGTCCAACTGTCCTAAAATTATCATACAGCTGTTTAGTCCAATTGTCCTAAAATTACCATACAGCTGTTTAGTCCAACTGTCCTAAAATTATCATACAGCTGTTTAGTCCAACTGTCCTAAAATTATCATACAGCTGTTTAGTCCAACTGTCCTAAAATTACCATACAGCTGTTTAGTCCAACTGTTCTAAAATTATCATACAGCTGTTTAGTCTATTTGTCCTAAAATTACCATACAGCTGTTTAGTCCAACTGTCCTAAAATTATCAGACAGCTGTTTAGTCCAACTGTCCTAAAATTATCATACAGCTGTTTAGTCCAATTGTCCTAAAATTATCATACAGCTGTTTAGTCCAACTGTCCTAAAATTATCATACAGCTGTTTAGTCCAACTGTTCTAAAATTATCATACAGCTGTTTAGTCTATTTGTCCTAAAATTACCATACAGCTGTTTAGTCCAACTGTCCTAAAATTATCAGACAGCTGTTTAGTCCAACTGTCCTAAAATTATCATACAGCTGTTTAGTCCAATTGTCCTAAAATTATCATACAGCTGTTTAGTCCAATTGTCCTAAAATTATCATACAGCTGTTTAGTCCAATTGTCCTAAAATTATCATACAGCTGTCCTAAAATTATCATACAGCTGTTTAGTCCAACTGTCCTAAAATTATCATACATCTGTCCTAAAATTACCATACAGCTGTTTAGTCCAATTGTCCTAAAATTATCATACAGCTGTTTAGTCCAATTGTCCTAAAATTATCATACAGCTGTTTAGTCCAATTGTCCTAAAATTATCATACAGCTGTTTAGTCCAACTGTCCTAAAATTATCAGACAGCTGTTTAGTCCAACTGTCCTAAAATTATCATACATCTGTCCAAAAAATTATCATACAGCTGTTTAGTCCAACTGTCCTAAAATTATCATACAGCTGTTTAGTCCAACTGTCCTAAAATTATCATACAGCTGTTTAGTCCAACTGTCCTAAAATTACCATACAGCTGTTTAGTCCAACTGTCCTAAAATTATCATACAGCTGTTTAGTCCAATTGTCCTAAAATTACCATACAGCTGTTTAGTCCAACTGTCCTAAAATTATCATACAGCTGTTTAGTCCAACTGTCCTAAAATTATCAGACAGCTGTTTAGTCCAACTGTCCTAAAATTATCATACAGCTGTTTAGTCCAACTGTTCTAAAATTATCATACAGCTGTTTAGTCTATTTGTCCTAAAATTACCATACAGCTGTTTAGTCCAACTGTCCTAAAGTTATCAGACAGCTGTTTAGTCCAATTGTCCTAAAATTATCATACAGCTGTTTATTCCAATTGTCCTAAAATTATCATACAGCTGTTTAGTCCAATTGTCCTAAAATTATCATACAGCTGTTCTAAAATTATCATACAGCTGTTTAGTCCAACTGTCCTAAAATTATCATACATCTGTCCTAAAATTACCATACAGCTGTTTAGTCCAACTGTCCTAAAATTATCATACAGCTGTTTAGTCCAATTGTCCTAAAATTATCATACAGCTGTTTAGTCCAATTGTCCTAAAATTATCATACAGCTGTTTAGTCCAATTGTCCTAAAATTATCATACAGCTGTTTAGTC